TTATATATTTATTATATATTTATACGTTAAAAATATTTAGCTTCTTACAATAATATCAAAATTGATATAAATTGTATTTATTTAAAACAAATATGTTTTATTACAAATTATACAAAAATATATAAATATGCTAATTATAAAAATATTTTATTCCTTATTTTTCTTGAACTAATAATATTTATTACATTTTATATAATTTGATTCAAATTTACAGTAACTGCATTTACTCTGCGTTTGACGAGTACATTCGTCATGTATCGATATTATTAATTTTTTAATTACTAATTATTAATCACACACAGAAATAAACATTTCCAATATCAAAATTCAACTTTTTGTAACATTAATCATTTACCGGTTAAATTTTATTTATTAAAAAATTTCTCAAAAATGGATGACCCACTTCGTTCTTTTTACGATCACGAACGTTTCTTTCTGTGATCACAAATTTTCCAGCGAATACTAAATATTTTCTTTTTTCTCGTCCGGTACATGACAAATACTATCACTTCCAAACTTTCTGATTCGTAATTTCGGGCCACAGTATGTGTCAATATACCAGCCCGTTAAACCTGACAGAGTAACGGTATCGATACCACATTTCCAGTGGCAAAGGAGTGATTTAGCACTGTTCTCGGTTACTCGTTCACAGCAACGATACTGTGTTATATTTATATTTAGCAATCTAAATGGAATAATGATTACCGTGTAACGTACTTCTATGGACGGATCACTCGTGAGGTGTACATGAATCTCATGATCTATGATTTTACCTGGATTGAAAAAGTGTGTGCAATAAATCGTAAGATACACAGTATCACGGAAGATTAATTGCGCAACTGCTGTTATTACTGCAAATTTTTAATTACGCAACGAAATTAATTGATAGGTATATTGCACGGAGCAAAGATTTATTAGAGTAACTGCATTATTGCATTTTTATGCCAAGAATATAATTTGCGTATCATGTAATATAATTAATAACATTCTACATTAATTTATTACATAAAATTATTAAAAAATTAATTTTATTCTGTATCTTTCTATATTTTTCCAGTAAGGATCTTTTTAATCGTGTGCCTGAAATTATTCGCTTTGTAAATTTATCTTACGTTTATTCCGAGGAAACAGGTTTTAACGTAATTAAAATATCGATACGAATTTTAACACGAATCGTAGGAAAATAAAAATTTCTACTTTATTGTATAATAAATCTACTAATTTTTTCATAAATTTCATTTTTAACGATGCGAACTTTTATTTATTATTATTTATCTTTTTTACACTATTTAACTTGAATATAATATAGCAATAAATGTATTGTAATTATTTGCGATATATATCCGGTGACTTCATTAAGCACACACACTCGACTCCAGTTTTAAATTTATTTTTTCCAGGAACAGAGTTCACGGTAAACAAATTTATTCAGAATTTTTAAATTATTCTTCATGAGGGACTGCATCCTGCTTTGTCGCACTATAAACTTGTACCCGTGCTACGTATTATGAAATGAAAATATAAACGTTAAAGTGAATTAACCTTCGACCATTTTTCGACGTCTTTGAAATATCCAGATTATATCATTTTAATTTTTCTGGTTAATAATATGCAAAACATTTCGCGTTATTGAAATAGAATGGTTTTCAATCATCCAGGTGGCACAGGATATTAGAGAAATTCGATCGAAATGCAACAGCGCCATCAACCTAACCTAACCTAACCTCAACGTTTTGTTTTTCCGTTTATAACAGTTTTTGCAACCCTGTCGATTAGCTTAGACTGAACATTCCTGTGGTTACAGGACGATGAACATACTTGTGTCTTAAAATTTAAAACTATTATTAGAGATTTTGTACCACTAATACAAAATATATTGCCAATATAAAACTTGTTAGCGCTCCGTTAATTGCGTATCGTGGCTCGATGAGGAAGCACTTTTCAACGTAGAATACGGCCAGCGCCATCATGTTGCATGCCAGTCAAACGATTAAAAAGCCAATAACGTGTAACGAACATTGTGATTCAAAAATCATACTTTTATACATCCCTTTTTTTTTTAATTTTTCGTACCGGTTATTTTGTTTATATGTAAGTTTTACTATCATACCTGTAATATTTTTTTGATACAAACATAAAATTTCTACTGTCTCATATAAATATAAAGTTTAGTATCAATTATTAATAAAACTTTATTAAGGCAAAATATTTTTTGTGGAATATGAACATAAAATTCCTCTTGCCTTGAGATAAGTAAAAATATGAAGTTTAGTCTTAATTATTAGTAAAAAGTTATTAAGGTAAAATATATTTCTGTTGATATAAATATAAAATCCTTCCTTTAATATAAATATAAATAATTAATAATATTAATGATCTTCATTAAATAGTAGATTAATGAATAAAAATAATCTAAATACACAAAGTCATTTTTGTTTTGATATAAATATTAATTATAGGTTTGTCTTAATTATTAATGGAAAATTATGACTGAAAAATATAAAATACATTTTTGTATTTAATATAAATAACGTATTGTCTCTAAAATCATAAATTTCATCGAATATTCGCGTGCCTATGGATAATGACTCTGCATATATGTTGGGTAATGACATAATGATATAGGTAACAACATTATGTAGTAATTTTGTTAATATCATTATTTTAGTATAACGCTGAAATTCAAGTTATATTTTCCTTTTTTTAATGAGCTAATACCATGTTAGGGATTAAGTTCTTTGCTTGATCTCTTTGTTTGTTCATTTCAATCCTTCATGTGCGAGCAGTTCCTTTTCTCCTGAGGAATTACCTTTTGTGTTGTTTCATATTATAATACTTTTCTGTTCGGGGCGCATAAAATCTCTTGGACGTTCATTTTGAACGCGTTTGCATGCGATATGAAAAACTGATACCACGGTGATCATCGCTTTCTTCAAACTTACAATTTCATGGTTTAAATGCAGTGGTATAAAAAAGATATTAACCAATACAAAATAGAGATTATGGGGATAGTAATACAGCGATGGACGGCATGCAAGGAAATAATTTGCTATAAAACGTGATAACTGTAATAGAATATCTTTTACATGGATATTTCTTGCTTCATAGTATAGTACAATATGATAGCTTTGATATGAAATCGACTAAATTCTTTAGAAGAATTATGTTTATAAAAATTATATTGGTGGTATAAATAAATAAAATATATTATAAATAATAAAATTCGTATTTATCGATTAAGATTGATCACTCTGTATCAACAAAATTTAATGTAAATGTAATGATATATAGCAATTAAATATGGATATAATAGTAATGTATGTAATTAACAAAATTGTAATTTATGTATAGACAAAATTGTACAAAATTTTTGAAATCAGTTAGGTATTTCCGAAATAATTTGTATATTAGGGAATTACTATACATTCTATACCATCCCATTCCTATATAAGAGTATATTTTATAAA